CCACATTCATTCAATCTTAGCGAAGGACTCGAGCTTTGTGTACCAGTCCAGAACCTTCACGACCGCCGTGTAGTTCCCGTCAACGCCGTAGCAGTTCCCGACAGCTGTGGTGCAATTCCCGTAATCGGTGGCTTCTTCAACCAGAGATAACTCAAGTCCCGAGTCCGCCCGTTTGCAGCCGTAGAGCAATTGTTTGAATACTAAATTCGTTTTTTTCTCTATGTTGTACTCAGTCACTGTGTAATTTGCGAGCTCAACCATGTCATCGCTGTTGATTTCATACGACTTGAGAGGAATCCACTGGGTGGCGTCGCATTCGGGGTAGGCTATATTGGGAACGAAAAAAAACAGACTCAACAAGATTAATGAAAATAGGAAATATTGAGATTCGATGGCCATATTTTCTTAATTTCTTTTCTTTCCTTTTACTATATATTTTTTTTTTATTCTCGTTGATGTGTGTGGTGTGATGGTGCAAGTGTGCAACGTTATTTATAGTAATAAAAAATTTGAAAAGACAAGGCGGTTTTGGCCAAGGGTCGCAAACCAGTGGCGCAAATAATCCATGTAATCTATGGTCATTTTTGTCGTGTTAAAACAAAGTAAACTTTTCTTTTATTTCGTATAAAATGTTAAAAATATTAACAAAATGAAATAATTACAAACTTGAAATATGTATTTTAACAGCGGCGGACTCGTGATTTTCAAATAGAAGCTGACAAAATTATATATAGACACAAATCATCAAATGCAATATATTGACGTATAGAGTTCACCATACTACTAAGCATATACCTTTGTCTATATGATTCTAGTTAAAATATATTAAAAAAAACGTATTGTCACTAATTTTTTAAAGCATTGCAAATAATAAAATTTTAGCAAAGAACAAAAGTGAGACAAATAACAAAGTCATAAAAACAAATATTTGCAACTATATACTTAAAATTTTACATATTAATCACTTTGTAGTTACAATTATTTGTGATGAGCAAGGAACATGATATAAAATTATTGCATTATAGTTTTATTATTATTATTTTTTTTTTTCAAAAAAATATTTGTCTCAATATTCAGAACCCAACAAGAATTAAATCTATCAATTTTTATTTGGTCATCTTATCAATTTCTTATAATTTTTTTTTATAAACTGTTGGTGCAATATATATTTATTTTTAAGATTTGCTTGTTAAAAAATGTTTCGATTTCAAAAATGGTGATAAACTAAAGTTGAAATGGGACAAATATTTAAATTCTTATACTATCACACTTATATATAATTACCGAATGCACTGGCATATCATATGAGAATAAATTTGAATTTTAACCCAAAGATCATACTTTCTAAATAATAGGTCCAATGAATGTCATATATTTTTAACATGACGATGTCAATCATAATAAAGATTTTTCTACTAAAAGTAGATTTTGTATTTCGACTTACGTGAATTAAAGAAATGTTTAAGATGGATTTGTGTATTCAAAGATGCTCTTAGGTGTGATATAGTGTGCTCAACAAGATCAATGAAAATACCAAATAGCGAGATTCGAGGGGCTTGTTTTCTTTATTTTCTTTCCTTTTACTATTTTTTATTTTTTCTTTTGAGGTTTCACGTTGGTGTGTGGTGTGGGGGGTAAAACATTATTTATATTAATAAAAAGTTTGAGAAGGTGGGGTTGCAAACTAGCTACACAAGCAATCATCGTAATCTACTGTTATTTTCATCATGTTTAAAACTCCTTAAACAAAATAAAAGTAACTTTATTGCATATATATATATATATGAAATTAATAATTTATATTTTTTTTAAACAACTTTGATAAAGTGTGTTATACTTACGGGAAATGTTATGGTCCCGTTACGGTACCATCCCGTCGGATGTTTTAATCGTTGGATCATCTATCTTATATTAACTACATGTGCATCCAATGGTTAAAATTACCGACGGGATGGTACCATAACGGGACCGTAGTGTTTCCCTATACTTTATGGGGAAACAACCGATATTATTTTCAATTTCCTTTTCATGCTATTGTTCTGAACTTCCAAGCCCTTTCTTCTNAGCCCTCTCACCTTTTTTTCCCATCATCTTCATCTATGAGAATTAATAATACCACAGTTAATGGAGAAAATCTACTCCCCCCTCAATTGTATAAAGCAATCATCATCCCGACTGAAAGCAGCGTGGACTGACAGAGGCTGGTGGACGCCCTTCGACGAGGCAACGTCAATCTCTCTAACTGAACATCCAATATTTGCACGGTGAGCGGCTGGTGGTCGGTGGCTATCTGGTACAACGATTCAAAAGGCGGAGGGTCGATTGGATCGTGACCACCCGGTCGGAGCACTGACGGTGCGCCCAGAGCGGTCACTGAAGGGTCGGCCATAGGGATTGAGGACGGTAGTCGGATTTTTTGGGCTGATCGTTCCGCCTGGACGGAGACGTGTACAACGGCTTGTGGTCCGACGACGACAAGCACGACTACGGCCTAAATGCACTCAACAAATGAGCCTAGTTATTCATAATAATGTGCAATTTTTCAGATACGACGACAAATGAGATTTACTTTTCTTTTTTGTTAATTATCGTTTTTTTTTTTGGATAGTCATATTAACGTGTTTTGGTTCGTTTTTATTTTTATAGTTCGGTCTTGCGTTTGTGTTTTAGTTGAGCACTTCTCCAGTGATGTTGTCCGATTGTTTTTCAAGAGTTGCATGCGAATAGGGCATTTGGTGTATATAATGCGTTTTCAGTGTCATAATATGAATTGCATGTAGAAAGAGAAAATATATATTGTGGGAATCCTTAAATAAAAGGATGTGTTTGATGTTATAAATGTTTATGTCCCAGTTCATTGTAGGAAAAACTTAACTGAACATAATGTTTGTTCGGTTTGAGAAGTGAAAATGAAACTCAAAGTTTCATTACTTTTGCCTTAATGAAGACATTGAATGAACTTCTCTTCATTGAATGCAAGCTTGCCTTATGAGCACTATAAAAAGTGCATGCAAGCTTACGAGAATACACACCAAGAGACGAAAAGAAGATGAACACTTTATATATATACATATTCTCTTTCATCCTCTACAAGTCTAAGAAAAATTAAGGGTTCTTGGCAATTGAGATTTTGATCGAGGTTGGTGTGTTAGATAGTGCAGTCTTCACACTCTGAGTCGTCTTATCCTGAGAGAAAAGACGTAGTACTCGTTGCATAGTTTCGGCGCCTGTTTCTTTCGACTATTCGTGTTCTATGACAATATAAAACTGTTAGTTAAGTTATTTATTTTTTATAATAAATTTATTTATTTACTAATAGAAATTTGGTTTCATCTCATGTTCCTATTGTTGGTGTTTGTAGTTTCTATTTATAAATTCTTAATAGTTATATGTGTTGAAACTTGTTTTTAATCCGCTGTTTATCATTAATTTTACAACATTCAGTATATCTGATGTGTATAATGACTAGATTTGTTTATCATCTTCTGTATGTATTCGGTATATAATGACTATATTTTATGTATATCTTCAGTATTTGATCTAAAAATAAAATATAAGGAATGACTAGATTGGTTTATATTCAGTATATCTTCTGTATATAATGCGTTTTCAACTATTTCCTCGGCTGCCGTACGCGAGAACTCCATAAATTTCATACGCTCCTTTGACAACTCTTTGATGTTATGTTTCAGGTCCCCAAACATCAATGGAGTTACAACTCAAATAACATACGATACGGCTCACGATAAACACAATTTTGTGAAACCAAAACACCTGATAGCTGGGAATTTGTATACTGAATTCGATATGTACTATATATCCAAAACGGACAAACAAATAAAGACTTATCATGCCAAGAATCCCGTAACCGACGAGATTCATGCATTAATTAAAAAAAAATATATGTATTACATGGTAAATAATTATACCACCACGATATATAAAAATATGTATTACATGGTAAAATAAATCATTATCCGAATTTATATTTTGTATATCTTCCATATATGTTGTGTTCTTCACCATCTCGTCGGCAATCGTTCTTGCAAACGCAATAAAATTTATCGGAGGAAATGATAGTTCTTGTATTCTCTCATCAAGTTCACCATACATCAATGGAGCTACATTACAATGTGATTCCTGTTCATCATAATGTTGTGGACAATTACCAACAAAAAAAATCAATTACCAACAAAAAATAACACAACAAATATATATATAAAAAAAAAAAGAATTTCAAAGAATATATCAAAACATATCGTATATATTTGCGGTCGATTGTGTTGATTGTCTCATCTATTCAGTGCCTTGTTTTATCGTGCAAATGTCTGTAAAAAATGCTCCGACGGGTAGATGCGACCGGCAAAATCACAACGACGATCCTCTCTCTCAGAATTGCCGTACAACTTTTTTTTGAATTCAAATTTTGATTCTCTATTTTTCGCATACCAAATTTTAGGTGCAGCTTAGTGGTAGTGCTTACCATGTGAAAGAAAATCCTTACTTTATTGTATTACAATTTTTCCCGTAACTAACGGATGAGAGAGGGGAATTATATCATTTTATGCCACTATTTAATTAACTAGTAATCCTCTAGTTATGTTGAATATTTTCATACATATGCAAATACTTTCGCAAAATGTATAGCTTTAGGCAAAGCAGACATGTAAATTCCACATTTATCTTTGTGTAGCCAAAATTTATCTTATTGAAACATAAAATGAAACAAAAACGTACTCTTTAAGTTGATGAATTGTAGAGGGACCCCCTACACCTCTACAGTTTCACAACAAAACCTTCATTTGAAACCTGGGGCCCATTTGAGGCTGGCACACAACACCTTCTGAAGTTCAAGATCTTCCCCCTTACCTTCACTCTCTACCTTCTGATTTTTCATTTCCTTTCCTACANCCCCTATCAACTTCTTGCTAGCAAACATCCATTTTGTTTTACCACCCTCCCTACAAATCCTACTCAACTCGTTGTCAGCTTCAATCTCAGAAACACCCATTTCCACAGGAATATTTTCGAATTGATTAATGCCCATACAACTTTCATCCATTTCCTCAATTCTCTCTGTTTCTCATTCAACTTCACATCTCACCTCTTTTCTTTTGTTGTAGTTAATAAATTTCTCTCCAACCCAATGTTAACCAATGACACGGAAAATTTCGAATTTGTATCCACATATTCACCAGGCTTAAACTCTGGACCTTTTCCATAATATTTCAGACCACTCCTCAAGAATAATATATTGATTATCAAAAGACCACCTCTTGCCCATTTTCACCTTAACCAAATCCTCCTTGCTTTTGAAGATAAGTTGGTAATAATTAATGCCCAATTTCCTTGATTCCAACCGGATAGCAAGTTTGCTAAATAATATTTAATGTATTTCT